AACAAAAGTAATGTCACGGTTTGAAGGACATAATTGCTCAATAAATGAGTAAAATGCAACATTCTATGTTGGGGTTTATTCAACTAACTGACTTTCAAATGAGCTAAAAACAGCTGGTCCTCTGTAGGAAAAAATATAGAGATCACACGCCATGTATTATATGTTTTGTGCTCTTTAGTGATGTTTTTTGTTGTTTACATTAAGGCAAAAAATGCCTCCCTATATTGCCAGAGATGAACTGTTCCTGTTGCTATATCTTTTTAAATCAAACTGCAAAACACAAAGTAATCTTAAAAACATTGTGGTGAAGATTAAATCAATTTAATTGTATTGCCTAAGAGTGAATTATGAAGAAAAGATGGGAGTGGTACAGGAGCGGGAGCCATTTTGAATGGGAGTGGGATGGGAGTGGGAGTCATTGCACCAGGAGTGGGACGGGACAGGAATATTTTTTTTACTCAGGCCCGGGATTGGGATGGGACAGGATTATTTTTTGTGGGAGTGGGACGGGACAGGAGTAAAAATTCACTCCCGTGTCACCCTCTACTCTGCTCAGCGCCCCTTTCAGTTAGCTTTGTGTTATTAATGAAGTATTACAGGAAAAATAAACTACTCATAAAACATGTTCTCCCCCAATGCAGCAATCGCCCCCACCCTCTCTCTCATTTGATTGATGTTGCACTGACTCGTCCTGCTCCGACACTCTGATGGGGGAGGGGCTAGTAGTGCCTCTGAGGTAGTGGTTCGTGTTGACAAACTCAATAAGTCTGTATTTTGTTGTCCCACACGTTTACCTGTATAAAAAGCCTCAAAAGTTCATAAGTTTTGCAAAAAATATTTATAGTCAGCCTCGCAGGGGACATGAAAGCACCCACTGCGAAGCAGGAGGAAAGGAGAGCAGAAAAAGTTCAAAACATTTATTTGCTTTCTGGGAAAGCAAATAAAAGTTTACCATAGTACCTTACACTGTCAAACTTGTTTTTAGGGGTTCAAAATGGGGTGGGTGGGACATGGTTTGGGGTTGCGTTTCAACTCACCTAGGGCACCAAAATGGCTAGAGCCAGCACTGCATGCAGGGTGGAAATGTTGCTTGTCTCAAATATCCAGAGGTTGTGGGTTCAAGCCCAGGTGTGTTAAAAAAAATAAAAATAAAAATCAGATCTCAGGTTTTTTACTCACTGACCCCTGAAGGAGCTTATAGACATGGCTTAAATCAGTGCATTAATCCGTGCATAAAGCTCATTTCAATTTTTAAAATAACCACTCATTGTTTGTAATTTAGCCGAGGCGTATAGCTCCAAACTGAGTAACATTGTTGCATTAAGTTAGGTGGAACTTGATTAAGTATAAAATTTTACTAAATTTTTGTTAATTCTTTTGTAAGAGAGAAAGTCAAGAATAACCTGAAGTTTATACAGAACACAATTCCATGTAGGGACGTCACCATCTAGTGGTGAAAAGATCAAACTTCAACTACATCCTGTTAAATCTAGATCAAGTACCCACACAAAGACAAGGTATTACATGTTTATTTTCTTTGCAAAAACAAGACTTGTAATACAGGCAGGCCTGAACTCAGGCAAAAGAATTGAACAGTCCTCTCTCCATGCAGCATTGCACATGAACTGAATTTACCCCGAACCCTCTGGACAACAGAATCCAACAGTCCAGTACTCAAATATTTACCACAAACATTAACGTTGGAGCCACAGTACTTAGAAAATAATAAAAAAAATTTATTTAATGAATGTCAACTTGGGATTTTTCACAGCAAAGGAATTCTCAAAAAAAGAAAGGTTTAGCAGCGCAAGGCTCCAGTAGCAAGAACACTGGTCCTCCACACCACAGGAATGATTAATTTACAGTTACTGCACTTTTAAAACTACTGGAAGATGAGCCAAGTGTCAGGGGAGGGGAGTTTAGTCGACTTCTTCCATGCGTGAAGCGTCCTCGTCACCCTCCAGGGGGGGCATCTCCTCTGGGACGGATGTGGAGGTGGCCTCTTCTGTTGGAACGTCGTCGTCGTCGATGCCTGAAGAACAAAGATCCCCGTTAGTTCTTTAATCCAAACTAAAAGCTGAATTAACCCTGACGTCTCTGCTCTTACCCAGCCCCAGCTTGATCATTCTGTAGATGCGGTTGGAGTGGGTCTGTGGATCGTCCAGGGAGAAGCCTGAGGACAGCAGGGCCGTCTCAAACAGCAGCACCACCAGGTCTTTGACAGCTTTGTCGTTTTTRTCAGCTTCAGCCTTCTGCCGTAGTGTCTCCATGATGGGGTGGTCAGGATTGATCTCCAGGTGCTTCTTGGCCATCATGTAACCCATGGTGGAGTTGTCCCTCAGCGCCTGGGCCTTCATGATCCTCTCCATGTTGGCCGTCCAGCCGTAGGTGCTCGTCACGATACAGCAGGGAGAGGACACCAGCCTGTTGGACACGGTCACCTGGAGGACAGAAGACTTGCTTGAACCTCATCAAATCTGAAATTTAACCAAAACCAGACTGATCGTTAACTGATGCCGACCTTTTCTACTTTCTTGTCAAGGATTTCCTTCATGAGCTTGCAGAGGTTCTCGTATTTGGCCTTGTCTTCCTCCATCTTTTTCTTCTCCTCCTCGTCTTCTGGCAGCTCCAGGCCCTCTTTGGTGACGGAGACCAGGGTCTTACCGTCAAACTCCTTCAGCTGCTGGATGCAGTACTCGTCGATGGGCTCCGTCATGTACAGCACCTCGAAGCCACGCTTGCGGACACGCTCGACGAAGGCAGAGTTGGCCACCTGGTCCTTGCTCTCACCTACAAACAAACACCAGAGATGTTCAAAGATTAAAACTTTTTTAAGAGGGTAAAGTAAAAGTATTCCCTCTTTAGAAAAGTAAAAATACCAGTAATGTAATAGATGGACTTCTGGTTTTCCTTCATGCGGGTCAGGTACTCTGTCAAAGAGGTGGTCTCGTCTCCAGACTGGGAGCTGTGGTAGCGAAGCAGTTCTGACAGCTTCTTGCGGTTTTGAGAGTCTTCGTGGATGCCCAGCTGAAAACAGCGAAAATACAGTGTATTTAGCAAATTAAAAAATAAATAAATAAAAAAATAACAACAACAAAATAGGGAAAATACAGTGTATTTAGTAAATTAAAAAAGCCCCACAATAAATAAAGATACAAAATTAAAAAAACAAAACAAAAACTAACTCAACTAAAAAATAAATAAATAGATAAATAAATAAAATAAAAAAAAATCTTTATGGGGATTAGTTTAGTGTAGTTTCAGGCTGAGTGACAACTATTGACTAAAACTCTGCAGACATCCACTGTAAACCAGTTTAAATGAAAAGGTTTTGGTTCTGAGGGTTTAAATACCTTGATGTTCTTTGAGAAGCCCTCGTAGAACTTCTTGTAGTTTTCTTTGTCCTCAGCCAGTTCTGCAAACAGCTCCAAACACTTCTTGACGATGTTTTTGCGGATGACCTTCAGGATCTTGCTCTGCTGCAGCATTTCTCTGGAGATGTTGAGGGGCAGGTCTTCTGAGTCCACGACGCCGCGGATGAAGTCTGGAATAAATTAAATAAATTGAAGCTTTAACGAGCAGCTCTGTGTGAGCAGATCTGAACTCCAGCCCTGGCTGAGCTTACTCAGGTACTCTGGGATGAGCTCCTCGCAGTTGTCCATGATGAAGACTCTCCTGACGTAAAGCTTGATGTTGTTCTTCTTCTTCTTGTTCTCGAACAGATCAAAAGGTGCGCGGCGAGGAATGAAGAGCAGAGCCCTGAACTCCAGCTGACCTTCCACTGAGAAGTGCTGTGAAGGAAAAACAACAGTTTAAACTCTTATTCCACATTAATCCCAACAGACGGACTAAAAGGTCTGTTTACCTTGACAGCCAGGTGGTCCTCCCAGTCGTTGGTCAGACTCTTGTAGAACTCGCCGTATTCCTCGTTCGTGATGTCGTCAGGGTTCCTGGTCCAGATGGGCTTGGTTTTGTTCAGCTCCTCCTGATCAATGTACTTCTCCTTGATCTTCTTTTTCTTCTTCTTGTCCTTGTCTTTGGAGTCCTCTTCATCGTCCGAGCCAACGTCCTCAATCTTAGGTTTGTCCTCTCCCTCCTCCTCTTTCTTCTCCTCCTCCGCCTTTTCCTCCTCTGCCTCGTCGTCGCTGATCTCCTTGTCACGTTCCTTCTCCACCTGTGAGCAGTTGAGTCACATTTATAAGCTCACCAATAGTTTCAAACGTTAAATACGAACATTTTAAAGCACTTACAAACAGGGTGATGGGGTAGCCAATGAACTGAGAGTGCTTTTTGACGATCTCCTTGATCCTTTTGTCCTCAACGTACTCAGTCTGGTCCTCCTTCAGGTACAGGATGATCTTTGTTCCACGGCCAATAGGCTCACCTGTGAGTTGAAAGGATTACGAAGTTTAGAGATTTATAAAAATGCTACGATTTCTCAGTTTTGGTTCACAGATACACACCACTGTCAACCTTGACTGTGAAGGAACCTCCAGCAGAGGACTCCCAGGCGTACTGCTCATCATCGTTGTGCTTTGTGATGACAACCACCTTCTCAGCAACAAGGTAGGCGGAGTAGAAACCCACACCAAACTGACCAATCATGGAGATGTCAGCACCAGCCTGAGGAACACAGATTTACATCATGAGACCACGTCATTCAAAATAAGACTTTAAGCTTCACAAAATCATTAAAATCCTTTTTGTACCTGCAGGGCTTCCATAAAGGCCTTCGTGCCAGACTTGGCGATGGTACCCAAGTTGTTAATCAAGTCAGCTTTGGTCATGCCGATGCCGGTGTCCACCAAGGTCAAGGTGCGGTCAGCTTTGTTGGGGATGATGTCGATTTTCAGATCCTTGCCGCTCTCCAGCTTGGAGGGGTCCGTCAAACTTTCATAGCGGATTTTGTCCAGAGCCTGAAGAGAGACAATAAATGTTTTTCTCCTCAATTAAGTCAAAGGAAATTAGCCGCACGTTTCCGACAGCTTTAACTGGACTTACATCAGAAGCGTTTGAGATCAACTCCCTGAGGAAGATCTCTTTGTTGGAATAAAAGGTGTTGATGATCAGGGACATGAGCTGAGCGATCTCTGCCTGGAAGGCAAAGGTCTCAACCTCCTCCTCTTGGTGCATTTCTTCAGGCATCTACAAGAAAAAACAGTGAGTTTATAAAGCTTAAAAAAAAAAGTGATTCGGTTTCACTTTAGAGAAAATGTGACTTTAAGTTGATCATAAATCACAGGTCGGTTTCACAAAGTTGGTCCAGTTGCCAAAGTCTGACAACGCAAGGGCGGAAGTATCAATAAAAAACATGGCTCCTAACCGGAGACAATGGACGCTACGAGCACGTGCTGCGGAGCGGCAAAACCGTCAAAACTGGTTTTATTTCTTCAAAATAAAAGCACGACCACAAACTAGTCCGCGACGCTACAAAACACTTATTAAGTGCTTAATAATGAAACGATCGTTGCTCATTTCTGACTGAATGAGGCATTAAAAATGGAGGGGCCATCGATTACGTAACATCTAAGTGAACATTAGCCGTCCCGGGTTCGTCACGTCAAGCTAACTGGACGGGTCGAACCTGACGCCGGGTCGGAGCTCATTTCCTCTGCAGCTCGATCCAGCTGTGTCACGACCACCACACCTGCCCGACATCACAGCGCCGCATTCATCCCGAGCAGCATCATCGCTGGAAGCCGCTCCAAACACACGATCTGACGGCTACTGAACGCAGCTAACGCCCCTCACGAGACATTTACTGTTAAATTAGCATCAACTCCTGAGCGGGCTTCCGCCGAACATTTTGTTAAATATTTAAAACTCGAATAAAAAAGCTGATATTAAAAGGTTATAATATTAGTCGCGACATAGTAACAATTTGGTGTGCGTACCTTGTTAATTTGGTTGATTTTTCTTGAATAAAATGCAACAAAAGTGATGTCCCTCGCGCTCTCTGACGATGGGGAAAATGAAAGGAACTCCTTTCCTGAAACAGCGACTCTTTATAGACTACACGTGGGTCTGGAGTGCGGTCGTATCCATCCGCGGCCTCGAAATCTACTGGAGCGCCATGGAACAAAACATTTTAAAACAATTGTTTTATCTTAAGCTAACCACTATAGCATTTTAGAAAAAAATAATGAGTAAAAACTGTGATCCCTAAAAGCAAACATTTTCCAGTTATAATAAAAAAAAAACCATAACGAAAGACCTGAACTCAGCGCATCTTTGCCGCCATCTTGTGGCAGTTTACGTTACTGCAAGAGATTCACACAGACAAGAATTTTAGGACTTCACAGATGACATCCAGGCAACATTATCGGCATAAAAAGAAAATATGAGCCTAATCAATATTACACAGGCGCCGTCATTTCCCTGAGGTTTGACAACTAAAGTAGATCTCTTTTATCTGACGGAGGAATATTTAAAATCTGGGAGGTTGTGCTTCGTTTTTTCTAGCACTTTCCATGAAAAACCCGCCTCGCGGTGACGTCACAGGCTTATCCCTTCGCAGCGCAAAGTCACAAGATGTACCTGAAACAGCAGAGCAACAAAAACTCAACACTTAGTCACTGCGTTTTATTACATAAAAAACGGATTTCCTACAGCTATACCAGCAACATAAAGTATAAATGGCTCAATAATAA